CCACCCACCCACCCACCTACCTAGGACATGTTCTGGAAAAATATTTATTGAAGTCAGCCCTTCATGGTAGATCAGTCTAGGAATCCAATGTCATGTAGGTCAGGACTACTTTTATTGTAATGCTATAGTAACAGAATCTCGCAATTCTGAACGTGCTTCCTCTTTCACTCCCTTTATCTTCATGAGAAGTAGGAAGGTCTTGTCTGAGGTGCTTCCTCAGGTTACGTTCCTGCCCTGGACTCAGTCCTCTTTTCTCTGACTGTTGTCTTGGTTGTGGTTCTTCCTCCTGTCCCTCAAGACTCTTCCCTCTTCCCTCTAGAATTAGTTCCCCAATTATGCCTAGCCCAGCAAACACGGATCAATCATCATCCTTACAAGGTTGCTTCACATCTCAGAGTTCATCAGAAACTGGCCTGGTGGGTTTTGAGTTGGTTTGCCGTACGAGTGCAACTTTATGCTCTGAATGGGGACTTGTGGCGAACCTCATTACAGCGAGTGACTATACAGCACAGCTTCACGTAAATCCATTGTTTCCTTAACCGCAGTGTACCAAGTAAGTTACAACTGGCTGGTATCATACACTGCACTAAGCCATAAACCACAGCTTAGACACCCTAAGCACTAGATTATATATATTAAGCCAAAGCTAAACAACCCATAGTACCGCTTAGCATGGTGCATGCACCCTTAGTGCACACTGCGTTTATGAGTATTGCATCCTTACGCACCACGACCCTCCTGCTTCTTCCCCTGTTGCGCCAGTTCAGCTCCATAACCCATAATCCAGATCTTACCTGACTTCTGTGAAGCTCCAGACAGAGCTGGCAGAAACCGCTGCGGCCCACCTCCTGCAGACCCAGAAAACCACGTGTCTGTCTCGCAGAGGCAAGTAGTAAAAGATGTGCGAGAGAATTTCCTCGGGGATGTAATTCCACGTGTCTGCAGCTGCCCCCGGCATCCTTTGAGGGCAAACTCAGTCTCTTCTTTGCTGAAAGAAAACAGGCAGCAAACATTGCCACTAAGATACGGTTGAACAAACCGTGATCTTGTAGCCTATTTTTTGCATCTCCCCACCTCAAAGCTGTCAAAATGCGATGGTGTGATTTTCTGAGGGGAGAGGAGCGAGACAGGAAGAAGAAACCACCAGCCACTTTAGGTTGTTATTTAAAAAAACAAAAAAAAACATGTAGGTTGCTATTTTAAAAAAATATCTGTACCCCAACCTAAAAATAGGCTTTAAAAATCAGTCCCTTCCTCTAGTGGTCTCAGAGGGCCACTAGATACACACACACACACACACACAGAGCCATGGAGAGGTGCATGGCCCTCGGCTATGAAACAGACTGAGCCCCACGTAAAACTCTGCAGGGTATCAGGATCACCGTTGCCCAAGCTGGCATTCTCCAGATGGGTGGGCGCTGCCAGTGCCAGCATTCCAGACAATTTGGGCAAACCCAGCGAGACGTTTTGGGAGTCCCAGTTGTGAGGACTTCAGCCAGCCCTTGCGCATGTGCAATGGTTCCAGAAGCAGCCTTCACAATCAAACTTCACCAGGCAAAGGGGTCTTGCGAAAAGGGACCGCCACCCCACATCTCCACCTCCTGAAAAACATCTCCTTCCGGCTGGGAGGTGAATGCCCAGCACATCTGGGGGAGTCTCAGGGAAGAAAAGCAGGGCTGGACAGATCAAGCTTAACTCATGACATGGCAGGTTTTATTGTCTTAGCACTGGGAAATTCTTCAGGGTAGAAGAGAAAAAAAAGTGTTAATCCAGAGATAGAGAGCAAGACTCTGAACTTTGTGCCAAGGTTATGTCCAGCCACCTTCGGAAAGAAGACCCATTTTCCTCTCGGATCAGAAGTGGACGTCAGCCAGGAGAATCTGTCTCCCACCTACCAGGAATCCTTTCACTTCGAAGCCACGGGCTCCCTTCTCTTATACAGCCCAAGAGATTTCTGCTTCTCCTCCCGCGTTCTCGCTGCAGCACGGAAAGGAGGTGAAAAGATCGGTAGCTATTTTTAATTTCCGGAAAGGCAGAACAGATGAAGTCACTTCCTTGCGTTTAACCCACGGCTTTCTTTTTACTTCTCATTACACACAGCACAAAAGCTGACCTTTGATCGCCCAGCACATTATCCTCGCCCATAAAAAGTGTACTTGTTCTGCCTCCTGAGCTTGATAAAGCCATGGAATCATTAGGCAACAGAGCGAAGGTACTGCATTTCAAAATGAGCAGAGTCATCCAGAAAAGATTCACCCAGTGGTTAGAATGATCCCATTTCTCAAAGTTTGGGAGAAAGAATTGCACTGGAGCCAAATGGCCGAGGTCTCGGGAGAGACTGGGCAAAACTGACATCGCACTTCAAGCCAAGCACGCTCCTGGTCCTTCTCCTTTAGGAACAAAAAAGGTTCGGGAGGAGAAGATTGATGGGTCTTTCTAGCAGGGATGGCCTCCGAAAGAGAGAGGGTTTGGAGCATCGCTGCAGGAAGGCCCTGAAGCAGTGGAAATGTGCAGGGGAGCGGGCTGTTGCTATCCCAAATCTTGAGTCCTAAGCCTGCATTCACAAAATGAGCGTATGTACTAGAAACACAGTAATCCCCCAAGACATGTGATGGGCTTCAAGGGGTACTTCACAGAATGGAAAAGTTGATGGAGATTATCTAAAACAGTGTTTCACATCCTTGGCAAACTTTCGTTAGCGATTAGCTTCCTCCCACCCATCCCCCTACCCACCACCACACGCGGCTAGGGGTAGGTAGGGCGAGGAGGGGC